TGCTTTGTGTATTTATAGGCTGTCTATCTTGCCGTCCTGCAGGTCATCAGGTTGTCGCTTGCTGTTGGCTGATCAAACAGATATTGGTCTTGCAGATTTTTCTGGGTCCTGTATTGATAGACGTTCGATGGGTCCGTCAGATAAGGAGCGGCGTGTCACAGGCCACCGATCCAGCGCTTATCTTTACGTTCCACCACTAGCGAAGTGCTAATGAGTGGTAGAAACCCTCAAAACCATTATTGAGCTCTTTGGATGCCGATATTTTGACACTGCTGGGAGGTTTGTTTGCCTCAGGTGATCGTATTTGTGTGGCTACACTGACAGGGAGGCAGTTATGTCATTCTCTAAGCAAGTTGTTGACTGTCTTGGTAATTCTTCTTCTTCTTATTATTATTATCATTTTACTATACTATAGTTAATATAATTTTACTAGTTTATTAGTTGATGAATAAATGTATTTATGAATGGATTACTTTTTACTATGAAATACTATAGAAAAATAGCATAATATTTGAACTATTTATTTGGCATACATCATACTGTATTTACAATTACATAATATTTGCACAGTATGCATGTTCTGTGTATGCAAAATATGTGCCAAAATGTTCAATATACCACAAAGCACAGTGTCACATATAATTAATTAATAAATAAATAGTACATTTATACATTTACACCAATGTACATTATACATCATATATAAACTAATATAGACTTATATACACTTATTATTATTAATTTATTTTATGTATGCATATATAAATAATCATTATGTATATAATGTATAATGTATGTGTAGAAGTTATGTATGAATAAATGTATTTATTATGCAGAAATCTGCTAAAATGTGCAGTATATCACTGTGTTAAATATGTAGTGATATACTGCACATGTGACTACAACGTAGCATACTGTTGCTACATACCTACTATTTCACTTAATACTTGTATAATAATAATAATACTTAATGCATGCACACTTATGGCATAATTCTTAATACTTGAGCTGTGTACAGTGAACAAAACACAGTATTCAGTAAGTAGTATGGTAGTATTCTGTTCCATTCAAAAGAACACCTTGCTGTTGGCTTGTGGCTAATAAGCTAAATGGCTGATAAGCCAATTGGCTCTCCTCCTTTCCTATAGCCACCATGTTGAGCGTTTCTCTCATTAATTTTTAATTGAATGGTCTGTTTCCTCCTCATACCCTCTCCAGCTGTGAAGAACACTTTGATTTTGGTTTGTTCATGTCACCATAGTATTAGCAGGTGTCCCAGCAGCTCTCCTGAATTATCCTTCATGGGCCATTGAAGTGTCGGTCGAACAAGCACAAGTCTACGTTTTCACGCTAAGCCTGCACTGATTTCTGGTGAAAGCGGCATTTTACTGACAGGCCGATAGAAGTCTTTATCGAACAAAAGCTCCTGACATCTAAAGCTTGAAAGGATCTTGATGGAGGAATGAGTTCTGCGAGTGTAGCGAATCAAAACACCAGGTTAATATTCAGGTGGGTTGAGTGTTGGCTGGTAAACTACAGGAAACTTGCTGCAGGGTGAGAGTTTTCCCCGCTGTGGGATCATGCATTTACATGAAGCTTCAGTGTATTGTAGTGTCTGGGCAGAAAAGTCACTTGGCGCAAGGCTTTCATATCGCTTCAAACGCTCTCTGGCTCGCTCTCGGATTCCCTTTGCTACCCCGTTGCTTGTTCGGCGTCAGAAATCCTCTCAGATTCACTCCGAGGGCAGCAGCTCTCAGCTACATATACACTCAAGAAATTTAATTCAGGATCGAGAGGAGAAAACAGGTCACTTAAAGGGGTCATATGATGTTGCTAAAAAGAACATTATTTTGTGTATTTGGTGTAAT